ACACAGGTAAATAGATAGAAACGCATCTATATAGACACAAGTAGATAGGCAGAAACATATCTATACAAACACAGGTAAATAGATAGAAACGCATCTATATAGACACAAGTAGATAGGCAGAAACATATCTATACAAACACAGGTAAATAGACATGTATAGAGACACGGGTAGATAGACAGAAACACAACTATACAGATACAGATAAATACATAGAAACACGTCTATACAGTCATAAGTAGAAAGGCAGAAACACATCTATAGAGACATAGGTAGATAAAAACACATTTATACAGACACAGGCAGCAGATAGATAGTAACATATCTCTACAAACGCAGGCAGCAGATAGATAGTAACATATCTCTACAGACACAGGCAGATAGACAGACAAGAATTATCTACACACACAATGGTAGACATAAACGCATCTATACAGACACAAGTAGATAGACAGAAACATATCTATCCAAACACTTCTTATATTTATAACTTGCCCAATAAAGTACTTTGTTTGAGTTTTTATTTTCACAATCAAGTAATATACTATCTGATAAGTTGAAACATTTTTTAACCATATAACTTGCACTGTACATCTACAAAATGTGTATCAAATATTTATCCCTATAACTCTTTAAAGCAAAAACATTGTTGTCTCAGTTTAAAACACTAGTTTGTTTTCCCATAAACAGAAGTTTTATTATCTAAACATGTTTTAATAATCCGGTTTTAAAACGATATCAGAAGATGGTTCATTTTCTGGTAACGTGACGTATTTCTTCAACAAGTGCCTTTATTGATTAACAAATAAAACGTTTCACAAAACTTACCCACGTACACGTAAAATATAGACTAAATTTTTCGCTTTTGATAATACATTGATTCATCTCAAATAATCAGTATAAATATTTGGTATAGTAAGTTTATACTCTTTTACAAGTGTAAAATGTCAAGTGAATGTCTTCATAAGTTTAGTAAATATGTTTAAACTTGTCGTTGTATACGTGAATCAAAAACATACACACGTAACTAGAAAATAGCAGCACTTGCCAGATTAGTGCTCAAGATAAGTGTTGCTCTAATAATCAGATACGAAATATTTAAATACACAGGCGATAGCAGGTCAAAAACTCGCAATTCCCACAGAAGTAGATACTTTCAACTCATATACTAAGTGTGGTATGCAGAATGCCATCTTAGATATCTCACGTTTCTCTGAACACTGTTTATCACAAGTAAATACTAGACCTGCTCACGCAGGATGTTCTGTTTCAAGAGTAAATAAAACCAAAATTAAGGATAACATATATTTTTCTTTTCTGCTTTCGATGTTCATGTGTCATGCTGTATTGTAGCCTACAGAGTGCGTAATTCTTCTCGTGATTCGTGGTATGCGCACGTTTTACTGACTCACGACAGTACAAATTGCAACGTTAAGTGTCCCTTATGTGACGTCATTTTAGTGTCTACTGACTGACAGACAGACAACACTACTGTATAGTGGTGCGAGTGGTTAAAACAGGTGACCCCTCTAGGCGGCCTTTGGCTCCCTTTCGGGGAAATTACATTTTGTTATCAAGATGTTGACATTCACTAAACTAAAGAAAATATACAAAACTTAGCTGATTTCTGTCAGACTACATTTAAATTAACTAACAGAATTGTATGAAAGTTCCATATGTTGTTGTTTTTCTCTTTTTGCTCAAACGGTTTTGCACTAAGAAAAAGCTACGTTTACAGGGGCAAGAACATTCGTTTGTTCCCGTTATTTGTATAGAATGGAATTAGATTAATTCCGTAAATTTTTTTTAAATTTTAGAATTATAAGCAATTAAATTTTTAATGACTACATAGTTTTGTTGGTTTAGGTTTCCAACATTCAGTCAAATAAATACGTTAGATGCGCTATTCACATGAAATTATAGTCAATGTAGTAAGAGTGAATATTTTAATATTTTGATTTTTTAAAACTGAAGTCAGTGTTGCTATATGAGTTTAATTCTTAAGTAATTTAATCTTCGTTTTAAAGTTACGTAACCTGTCGTCAAACCCAAATTTACACATACATCGGTATCCCTAGTTTATCCTAATGAAACACATATCCACAATTTCAACATTGTTCAAAATTATTTTACAAGAAAAACATTTTAATGCAGTGCTTGTATAGTTTGTTTGTTTGTTTGTAATTAAGCACAAAGCTACACAATATGCTATCTGTGCTCTGCCAACCACGGGTATCGAAACCCGCATTCTAGCGTTGTAAGTCCGCAAACATACCTCTATGACACTGGGGGGCGTTGGTATAGTTCAAATAAATAAAATATATAAAACTTTAAATTGTTATTTTACGATAAAAAGCTGATTGAACAGAGTTCAACCTTTCTCGGGTATTTTTTTTATTTCATACAGTCACTGTTTGTCCATTTACCTACCGTAATCATTGTGTTGTATTTCTTTGAAAACACATAATATTACAAGATTTTATCTTATTATCAATACAGGTGTTCAATCGGCACTCTTCCTCCCAGAAATGGCTAAATCGTCACGTACTGATCCACGCTGGTAAAAGACCGTTTGCATGTATTTTTCCCGACTGTGAAAAGAGATTTGACTCTACGGAAGTAATGGAGAAACACATCAACATACACCTAAGAAATGACTTGTCTAACAAGCCTGTCAGAAGAGTCATTAAAATACCGAGGTATCGCAGTATTAAGAATCGTCAATCCGGTAAGATATGGTCTTGTCTATCCATCTACTATGTCTGTATATAGATGCGTTTCTACCTATTTACCTGTGTTTGTATAGATATGTTTCTGCCTATCTACTTGTGTCTGTATAGATGCGTTTCTACCTATTTACCTGTGTTTGTATATATATGTTTCTGTCTATCTACTTGTGTCTGTATAGATGCGTTTCAACCTATTTACCTGTGTTTGTATAGATATGTTTCTGCCTATCTACTTGTGTCTGTATAGATGCGTTTCTACCTATTTATCTGTGTTTGTATAGATATGTTTCTGCCTATCTACTTGTGTCTGTATAGATGCGTTTCTACCTATTTACCTGGATTTGAGTATATCTCTAAAAGTGAGTATTATAGTACAGTATTATAGTAGAGTATTATAGTAGAGTATTATAGTAAAGTAATATAGTAGAGTATTATAGTAAAGTAATATAGTAGAGTATTATAGTACAGTATTATAGTAGAGTTTTATAGTACAGTATTATAGTACAGTATTATAATACAGTATTATAGTACAGTATCATAGTAGAGTATTATAGTAGAGTATTATAGTACAGTATTATAGTACAGTATTATAGTAGAGTATTATAGTACAGTATTATAGTAAAGTAATATAGTAGAGTATTATAGTACAGTATTATAGTACAGTATTATAATGATTCACCATACTCATAAAGTAAGAGTTTGCAGCTTCAAGAAAAGTTTTATGCATCTAAACCGAACCTGTAGTTTATAGTGTCCAAATTCATGGCTGAATATGTTTGAAGAATAAATGAACAAATAAACGCTCATATGTTGGCACTCGTAGAAACACTAGTTGACAAGAGACGCCACATTTCTAGACATACTAGTTTACAATACACATCACGCTTAGAGACATATTACTTGAGAAGAATTAAACTAGTTGGCAAGAGACGCCACACTTAGAATTAAACGAGTTGGCAAGAGATGCCACACTTAGAAACATACTAGTTCACAGGAGAGGCCACGCTTAGAGACGTACTAGCAAGCGACGCCATATTTAGACTAAATCAAAGGTATAGAAATATTTTAGTGTTATTGAAACAAATGAAGGAAATGAAACAAAAAACAAATACTTTGATCTCAAGTTAGTAAACTTGAATTCTTTTCAGCAGATCATTTTATATCAGTGACATAATAACACATCACATAAAACAAGAACTTATCCCGAATTGTACATCTTTAAAATAACACAATTTATATATAAAAAGTATAATATAAATTAAATACCCATACGAGAAGTTATTGTTGTACAAAACCTGAAATCTCGGCCTGTGTCATATTGGAATAATGTTATGTTTAAATGTTATTCGAATTTAAATATCCTCTTTGAGGGTTCAGTGCTAATCTTGAGGGTTTATAATACTAAAATACAGGGTTCGGTATTTGCGATAGGCACATTACAAATAGTCCATTGTCAGCTTTATGATAAATAAACAAAATGTAAACGATTTCTAACAAAATGCAGATGGAAGGTAGAATATTTCAATAAAGTTCTTTGTTTAAAATATATTACACGTTGAAAACGTAAACGTAGGTATTTCAATAGGGAAAATAATGTGTCCGAACTCAAGACAAAGATATCGTTATATTTAGGATGGGCCTAATGCGGCTCGGTAGTTAGCATGCTGGACTGTGGATCTGAGGAACTGTGGTTCGTATCCAGTTTCTTCGGAGCTATAGGTGCATCATAAGAGTAACGGACAAATGCCACTATTTGATCAGACGAGAATAGCCAAAGAGGGTGGGTGGTGTTGACCAACTACTTATCTTCTTGTCTATAACTTCACAAGTAGGGACAGCTAGCGCAAATATGCCTCTTGTAGTTTTGCACGAAATATAACAAACTGTTTAAGATACTAATACGAAGATATCAAGTTCTATATAAATACTTCACTTTATATATCTTATAATACTGTACTATAATACTCTACTATAATACTGTACTATAATACTCTACTATGATACTGTACTATAATACTGTACTATAATACTCTACTATAATACTCTACTATAATACTCAACTATAATACTCTACTATAATACTCT